GCCCAAGGAAATCACCATCGACCGCGTGGATTAGTTGACTTGGATGCCTAACACTGCGTGAATTGATCTATTCCTTCTTCTTTTTAGCGGGAATTGATCTATACTGTAGATGAAGAAAATATATGCCCACAAGCGTATGGTTAACTATTAGCGCCAGAAACGGCATGGACAACCACTCTGGTGTGCGCCAGCTGCGTTGTCTGTGGTGTAGGATAATATAGCTGTCTCGATCTGCCCTCTCTCAAGAATAAAATGAAAATTCCATCTTGATTTTTATCGACATGCCATCAACTCGGTGATGTACCAGAGAGGGCTTATATAAAGAACTAAATAAGCTGTCGCGATCGGATGCAAGAACCAATTAACCTGGTCACACGAATCAAAATTATAGAAATAAACTAAGGATTGCATAATTGCAGCAACTTGTACGTATGCGAGTAGGAAATTAAGATGACCAGATGGATCGCAGATAATAAAACTCTCATAAAGTACTAATAGTACAAGGACGCTTTCTTAAACCTAATTCCAAGCATAGATTAGAGCGCGCTGGCAATCATGGAGACTACTACGAAGACCTTTCCAGGAGAGAAGTTGCAAGCCTGTCCATTATTTCATAAATCATATGAACTGGCAGTCATGTTGATTCATCTGTACTACTTGTTGTCTGCATGCGAGGTAATCTACGGGCACAGTACTTGACCAGCTTACTCTAACCTCACCGGAGCTGGTGGCGGTGGCGGAAAATAGCCGAAGCACGCTGCGCGCAGCTCGCCAAGTCTTTCTTTTCTTGTTCACGCATGAGCAGGGGAGCAACGAACATGAAGGAAGTACATGGTAACGAAAAAGATCGTTTGTGAGTTTGTGACCAACTATCTCAGAGATATCTAGCCGAAAGAAAAAAAAACACTTTCTGATTCATCTCACAGATGTAGACAAATAAATTTGCTTGACAGGAGGAACATATTGCCACTAAGTGGCAAGATTGACTGGCTCCAGCTGGTCAGGGGATCTGCCTCGCATATAGCATATAGGTCGTTTGGTAACTACCTTATTTTGTTTGAAACATCACCAGGGGGGAAGAGTTTCCCCACCAGAATTTTCATTGAATGAAGGCAGAGAGCAATCATTTAGCTGGAGAAAAAGAAACCGCGTCACTTTGTAAGGACTTGGTGAATAATTAATAAATGACTATACGCATCGCCCTGATGTAGAGGCCAAGGATCACCCTCCATTTCGCAAAAAAACCTACATTGTGATACTTTTGCTCGGGTGTTTTGAGTTTGTTTGACCAAAGAGTGAGGTCCTTTAGAGTGTTAATTATTACATCACTAGAAGGAGGAGCATGTGTTTCATGAACACCGGTGAATTCATGGCATCCCAACAAATTTAAGCCTGTCCCTCCCTCCCATCCCTACCGTCGTTCCCTTGAGGGACAGGAGGCTGCTCCTTGAGTTTCTAATAACATTATTTTTGCATCATATGGCTTATATTTTGCTAGTCAACCTGGAAGGAGGAAGTACTAAGCATCACTGGTGAAGCCTCTTGGGGGCCAAACGGGGTCGAGACACCCCCTTCCAAAACTGCAAAAAAAATTGACTACAAATATTTCTGTCCCAGCCCATCAATTGGCAATTCTCTTCTCCAACCCAGTTATTACGTAATCCCTCCATTTCATTTTAGTCTACATATAAAATTTGGTCAAAGTCAAACTTTCTAAAGTTTGACCAACTTTGTTGAAGAAAATATCAACATCTACAATACTAAAGCAACATGGTATGTAAATGAATTTCATGATGCATCTAACAATATTGATTTCATATTGTAATTTTTTTATAAACTTAGTCAAAGTTGACAAAGTATGACTTTGACCAAATCTTATATGCAGACTAAAGAAACGTAGGGAGTACGTTGGTTTTAGAGGGGCACCCCTATGTCTCGTTGTAAGAAAAACAGTGCGCAGCCACGCGTCGGGGGAGCTTCACATGGGCCGGCCCAGCCGCGCGGGAAGCTGAAGCCTCCTTTTTCTGATTTCCTCTTTTGCTTTATTTGTTTAATTTTGTTTATACTATAAAATATTCTAAATATAAATATTACCAAAAAACTTTACAAAAACATTTGAAAAATATTAACCAAGCATTTGAAAATTATTAAATGTGTATAGAAAAAATAATTATCACGTATGCAAAAAAATGTATAAAAATTTGATCATCTATTCAAAAAATTTAATCAAGAATTTGAAACAATGTTGAACAAGTATTTGAAAAATATTATTCAAGCATTTGAAAAGTGTTAAATGTTTACAGAAAAACCTTGACCATGTATTAAAAAATGATAATTTTTTATCATGTATATGAAAATGTTAATCAACCATTTGAAACAAAATGTGGAACACGTAATTTAAACTGTTAATCAAGCATTTCAATATTTTAAATGTGTATAGAAAGAATGTTGACCATGTATTAAACAAATGATGAATTTTTATGATCATGTATATAAAAATATTAATGAAGCATTTCAAAAAATGTTGACCAAGTATATAAAAATTCTTAGTCAACCATTTGGAAATGTTAAATATGTATAGAAAAAATTGTTGAAGATGTATTTAAAAATGTTAAATTTGTATTGTAAGAATGTTAAACGTGTATTAAAAATGTTGTTGACATATGCCAAAAAAATAGAATGAAACCAGAAGAAACAGATAACACAAAAAATAAAATCCAAAAAGAAACAAAATAAACCAAAGAAAAAAGGAAATAAATAAGAAAGAAACAAATGCACGGAAGAATGAAAAAAATGGAGAAAAAAGAAAAGAAACAAAAGAAAACAAAAAAGAAAGAAAAAAGAATACAAAAGAACAACAGCGAAAAAAGAAAAAAAATAATGAAAAGAGAGAAGAAATGGAGAAAAAAACCCAAAAAAAATACTGGAACAAGGAGAAAAAACAGTGGAAAACCCGGCTTGTTTCGACTTAAGAACCGCCGCCCTACTTGCGACCCAAGACCAGTGGTTGGTCGCACTTCCAGTCTAACAAGAGACCTGGGTTCGAATCCCGTGCGCACTGTGATATAGTTACCGTGGTTTTAGAGGCACCAAGATGCTTTGCTCTATATTGCTTCTCTCCTTGTGAAAACTCTGCACAATTTGCAATCAATGAAAACAGATCGAATGTGTACTTACTTACAATAATCTTTTTTGCGGAAGTCTGAACATCACGGACTGTCTCGTGCTGATGTGCACAACAGCCAAGATGACAAGTCGACGACTGCTGGTGAGCCGAATTGTCAAAGGATGAAAGGAGCCATGTTGTATCATGTGAGTTGCGTCCATCTTCATGCATATCTTGCTTTTTATTTGAGATCCGATCATAATTGATTGGAACAAGTTTTCAACAAGTAGTTGAGCCGTTTAAGTCTGCACTTTGTAGACCTCGATCATAGACTAATTAATTAGTCTTGACGCCATCAATGTATCGAGACCACAAACGTTTTGTCGTGGACCATCTTTCGGAAAGGAGGATTACCCCTAGGCTCGTCAAGCGTTGCACACAGCCATCTATAGTAGTAATATCTTATGACAAACACAAGGTCAGGGGTGCGTGCTGTGCCGTGCAATCAGCTGGCTGGTCTACACTCTACAGATTAAAATTATGCAAGACGATGCGTCGTGCAGATCTCTATGTTCTACGTGGCATCTGCAGGTTGACATCGATTGTTAAACTGATGTTTGAGTTGGCTGTGAACTTCTAACCCTGATAATTCTCATTTTTTTTACAAAAGGCGGATGACCCCCAGCCTCTGCATCTGGGCGATGCATACGGCCACTTTATTAATTATTCTCATAAGACCTTACAAAGTAATACAATAATAAGACTAAAGCCGCCGTCTAAGAATCTCTATCCAGCTGATGAAGGGGCGCAGATAGCCTGGGCCTAATACCAAACAGACATCGCAGCCAAACCTAACATCTAAGACCTGAGAACCCATCCAGGACGCCTGCCGGGCATGGGTCTCGCCGGTCCGGTGTGCACTCAGATGCCGCCGCCGCCAACTGCCACTGCTCCATCTTCAGAACTATACTGATGCATCAACCTTACTCGGTCTAGCTATCATCGACGCCACCACGGCGCCAAACGACACCTCCTCCCTGCGCGCAAACAGCTGAGCACGTCGCGGTCGCTACTGATACACCTCAGCGCAATGCTGCCAGGTATCACCAGCCGACACAACTTGAAGTCCTTGGAAGATCTGTCGTGCGTAGCACCTGCCGACCAGGCATGACAAAGCGTAGCACCTGTCGGTCAGGCATGACTTGACATCACCACCGAAGCTCCGTGCAAGACGAAGCCGCTCCACCTCCTGCCTCTGACACCAGCGCTGCTCCGCAAACGATGCTCCCAAGAGAGAAACGACACCGCAGTGCCGCCATTGTCCGATCTGGAACACCAGATCCTAGGGTTTTCCCCGGAGCAGCATGAGTGGGTCGACAATAGTTA